GAAAAAATAAGGGAAAAAATTGTCAATGCCAAAATAAATATGAAACGTTAAATTAAGTGCAGTGATTGTTAAATTTTGTAGTTTTTGTGCAACTTTTCAAGTTTTTCTTTTATACCCAGTAAATTGAGCAAAGTATTTACACGCTTTGCCTTCAAAGTTAAATATGTGGGTTAATGTGCTGCAATTTATCTGGAAGACACTCGAACTAGGACTTCAGACAAAGCAATTGTTTCTTGACTTGATTGGCATAATTATCAAAGGAGGCACAACAATATAAGCAGAGGCAGAGTACAAGAGAGAATGAGAGGAAGTAGTAGCTGGGTTACAAGGATGAGAGAGAGAGAGAGACAAGTATAGGCAGAGGGTAGAGGGAATTCAATATGCCCAAGCCAAATAACTCAGAACATTCATCTAATAGAAACTAAAAAAAAAAACAAGAAAAAATAAAAGAGATACTGCAAAGTTGATGGAAAGTGAAATAAACCCATTAAAATTAAGAGTTAAATCCAGTACTTTTCTTTTATATATTTGTAATTAACAGATATAAATGACAAATGAAAACATCAATAATACTAACATGTCTCCCTATAATATAGCTCCAATACCTCCCCAGTAAAACAGCTCTTAAATGGCAGCAGGGAAAGTTTGAGTTTGCTTAAAACTAAACAATTCTCATTAGTATGACCCCAAAGCTTTATATGACTAAGGATTTCGTATAGATGTATAATTATTACTATTTATCATAAGAAAACCGCACATCATTTCGTATGAATGCCAATTGAATTGGACAAAACATATTGATGACTTCTCTTATTGTTTCTTTTTTCAATTTTGTGTTTTTTTCGTGTTGTAACGCATTTTGCACATTGGGACCAAATTGAATTGCCGCTGACACTGTTCGCTCTTGCAAGGCCATCCTACAGTCATCCGCTGGTCGCCGCCAACAACAACAACAATAATAACAACAATGGCATGAAGAGCTTGGTATCATGTGCTATTATTATGATGGTTATTATTATGGCGGCTGCTTTTGGCATTGCCTTAGTGTAGGGTCTGCACCAGAAACCAGGCAGTCAACTGTAGCAGCGGTCACGCCTACCCCACTGGTCAACTGGTCATGGGTAATGTGGACTTGTGACCTTAGCGCGTAAGCAAACTTTGGCAATTGTTAAAAAACCAAAAAAAAACCAAAACAAAAAAAATTAGCATGTCGCATTGTTGTGCTATTATTTTCACGACGAGTGCCAAAAGTTGAAAACTCGTTTTGTTTTGAGCCATTAAATGCATGGGCCGAGAGTTCATTGTCGATGCATTGTCATTGAATTAAACTAAGTAGCAAAAGCTAATGTGTGAATTGAGTTTCCGGTTCTTTTCCTCTTGAGTTTCTTTTCAGTATTGATTAGAAATTTTCCTAAAGAATATATGCATATATTGCATTCGAGTTGTGCTGAGTTTTCCTCAGCTTTGTAGAAACTATAATTGTTGCGGTGCTTTCAACAGTTTTGCATAAGTTAAATGGCATCTTTCACAAGACTTCCCGTCCGATAATAATCAGCGAAGCTGTCATTAATCAGTCCGATGCCAATTAGTGGCCATTTAAATGAGCCAAAAACTTATTAACCGCTTGCTAATGTGTAATTTGCAGCATTTTCCATGGCAATAAAATGCAAAATGCAAAATGCAATTTGCTATTATGTGTGAAATTTCTGCGCGGGGAAAGGGGCTTTTGCTTTGCTAATTAAAAACAAATGTATTTTAATTTGAAATGCGAGCGAAAAGTAGGCGGCGAAACTGAAAACAGAAAACTGAAGACCAAAGCCGAAGCCGAAGCTAAAGTTGTTGCTGCTGCTAAACCTGAGACAGAAACGGAGAGTTTTACTCCTGGCTTGGCCGCATTGCGCATACGCAGCGTTGAGCGCTGTGCAACAGAGTGCAGCACATTTGTTGAGGGTTGCTCCAGTATAATGTGCATAAAATACGCATAAAAAATGCATCAAGCATTTGAAAAACGTTGTGTTAATTGGGCGGAGCAAATCACTGAATGAATTCACCTGGCCATTGACTCATGCATCGCAAAGCTGAGCTCATGCTCTTGAGTCATTGCCGGCTCGCTTTGCAGCAATTTAAAGTTTTCAATGTTTATTAATAGGCCGCTTAGGTAATAGCCTGTATTCGACATTCGAAACTTGTTTGCTAACAGCTAGAAGAGGTACAAGAGTTCCAAGAGCCGTTACCCTCACTTCTCATTGTTTTCTAAACTTCATGCACGATTCTTCTGGCGCTACTGCAAAGCGAGTGGCGTGCTGCTTAGCTAATTATTTACAGTAATTATCGCATGCAGTTGCTGTAGCCTCAGCCGCAGCCGCAGTCGCAGCCTCAACCGCTTTCAATACCTAGCCAAGAGTCAGCAAAATTCTTCGTCATTCAGATTGATGATTATAAAGTTAAAGCATTAAAAAAAAACTACCAATGCATTTGGTAGTTTGCTGCTTGCCTATCGATACTTTGTTGGTTACAATTTGCAAGTACTCATTGTTATCGGTACTTTAAATATCGATTGCACTCCCCCTCCTAATTTACAACGTTTACCCAAACGCCTCTCTTGATTGTGCCGCTTCAAAGAATTGTGGCACCTCACTTGTTGCATGGATGACTTAGTAAAGGGGTATATGCATGTGCATTTGTGTCAATTGCATTTGAACATTTCCTGCCCACAGGCGCTGCAAATTGTGCTGCACAAATATTTATAATTTTTCGCAAAACCAAATAAGCACTTCGCACCACAGGAAAGTGGGTCACATTACGTAGCATTTGAATACAACACGCAGAAATAACTCATATATATATATAGATATATATGCGTGTGTGTATGGCGTCAAAACAAATTACAACTACCGTTTGGTGATCATGCAATGCAATTAGTACGGACTGTGTATAAGAAATTCAAAAATACGTAATAAAATTAACTCGAAACAAAACTGTGGCCGGCAACATCTGAATGGGATTTGCAGCTCATCTTTATTGCGTATTTTATTTGATTTTTCTTTTAAACTTTTGCTTTGACTATGCCGTATGTGAACCCATTTCTGCGGCTGAGCTGAGCTGATGCCAACTTCCGCTGTTGTTGCCTGATTTTAACGCTGCAGCCATCGCACAGTGGAACATTTTTTGTTGTTGTTTCGAAATTGAAAAAGTTATTCTAGAATATGTAAATTTAAACTTTTACTTAAATGCTTATTTCTGGTAAGCGAATGTGTCTCTACTCCCAATGTCTATAAAACGATATATGTAAATACATATATAATTATTCAAATTTTGAATATCTATATTGCAACGCCTCTTTTGCGTATGGCTCCACTGTGCCTCGTCGCAGCCATCATCAACAAATTTCATTGAGCGTGAAATAGAAACAGAGAAAGTATGTACAATATTTTTTTATTTTTTATTTTTTATTTTGCGTCTTCTCTCTCGCTTTGTATTGTTTTATTTATCTGGCAACTGTCAGTGCAGTGGTTTGGCCGCTTGCTTTGCAGTTTTTTTCTTCATATTGTTATTAAAGTTTTCCATTGTCTGGTGCAGTTTTCTTCTTTCTGCTGCAATTGCATTGCTTAGGCGCGAGCCGAGCGTCGCCCTCCTTGCCAACAACAACAACAATAATACAATTACAGCAATTTTTGTGGTTAATTTTTTTTTTTTTTTTTTGAGGCATCGTCGCATTTTATGCAAATTACCGGTAATTTTATTTAAAGCTTTTCATTTACTGTTTTGTCGCTCCATTTTATTAGCAGCGAAGATTATTTTTGGTTTTTTGCTGATAGGCAAACCGCGTTGACTTCTCATATTTATTGCTGGCTTTTAATTTACGTGTTTGCAGCTCATTTTCCGCATGAAGTTGGATGATAAAACTTCTTTTTTAATGCGATCGCACAACATACACACATCATATGTATATATTGAAATAACGATTTTGCTAGCTGGCACATTCGCTTACATTTATTCTATGCCAATTGAAGGTTCGCATATTGATTAAACTTTTGCATGCAATTTTTCAATGTCGCCACAGACCTTGATCCAAAAACGCTGAACCCTCTATTTATCGCATAGCTATTGCGGAGCGCAGAGCACTATTACTTTCCAATTATGCAAATTTAATTTATGAATAATTGAATTGGGTATCGAACGCTTTTGAGCTTACATAGAAGTGGCCCTTGGCTTATCGATGATTAATGCATCATTAGAAATGTGCCGGCTTTAATAGCTGATGAGTGTGATTGTTATCGACTAAGCAGGACTATCGGAGCGCAACTTAAAGTAATTAATTGCCTGTTAAAGCCGCGTTGCCTTCAGCTTTAGCTAATGTCGAAATTGCAAATTTGCTCAACCAATGGATAAGATGCGCCTCAAAGAAGTGAAAATTCAATTGCATTTCAAGTTGAATGATGTGAATTTTGCGGCTACCTTGTCTGGCAATGGTGTCAAGAGCCAAGGCGCCATTGTTGATAGCAAGCTGAAGATTTTCCTGCGCACATTGGTACCAAGCCGATTGCCAAATGCGCTTGTATCAAAAGTAATATATAAAATAAAAAGGGTTTATTTTTGATGATGCGAATTTCTTAAATATTTTACTGAATGCATACTTTAGTTTTTTTCCCATTTCAACCATTTCAAAAAACGTCGTTGATGCAATTATTATAATTAGCTTTTGGTTTAGGACGCCACTCGATAAGGTTTGTTTTCTGCTGTTGTTGCTGCAAAAAAAGAGTTGAAAATGCAAATGTTACCTGTGCAATTACCTCTCGAGCTGTGTTAACCTTGCGGTTGCCTTTGTTGCTTGCTAGTGTTTTATTTTCCGTGCTCTGTACGTGCACATTGTTTAGTTCACTTACTTTCATTGTCTTATTGGTTAGTTGCTGCAATTGCTGACGAGTCATAGAACAAACAATTAAATAATATCTTTGCATTTAATTAACTTTCCATTTGTTTTGCCCGCTCACTTACAGAAACTTGAGCAGGAGAAGCATGTGCTGCGCCAGAAGCTGGCCATAGCGGAGGATGAGAGCGACCAACGTGTGCTCGAGCTGCAGTCAGATCTCAACGAGCTAAAGGACAAGCTGCAAACACAGGATGTGGCCATCAGGCAGGCGGAAAAGGAAAAGACCATACTCATCGATGAGCTGCAGCATCAGAATACACGCTTAACAGAACAGATTCAGGAAGCACACGCCACCGAAATGAAGCTCAGCGCACAGATACAGGAGCTCAAGGACCAATATCACTACAGGAACAGCAGCCTACAAGTAACCTATTGACCAAGCGTCTTCAATTCCAATTGACTGAGCGCTTTTCTTTGCAGGAGCACGTCAACAGCCTGGAGTCCATTAAAACCGAACTAAACCTCACCACGGGCAAACGCCAAGAGCTGGAGCGTCGCTTGCAGCACGCCCAGGAGGAGAAGGAAAGCCTCACCTCATCGCTGGAGGAGGCTTCGGACCGAATTCACATGCTGGAGCGTCATGCCCGCGAGCAGGAAACAAAATTAGAGGTAAGCTCAAGAAACAATCGCAATTTGTACGTTATCAAGTCAAGTTCATTATAAATTTCAACGAAACGAAAGAGAAATCGTGATTTTCAAACTGTCTTGATTATTTATGTCGCTTCAAAGAACAAACTGCGCAGTTTCTCAAGTGTTCAACTTATCTATGAACGAACGACTTTCTTTTGCACTTAATTTTCGCAATGATAAGTTAAGAGTTTCGATCTATAAATAATTTATGTTGTTTATCTTCTGTATCTCTAAACTTGACTTTTGTTCCATCTTTACAGACCACCTTACAAGCACTGGAACGCTCTCAGCGTGAGAACAATGTGCTTAGCGAGCGCTTGGGCGCGGTAAGTTTCTATCTACTCTTAAACTTTAAGATAATTTACTTAAACATCTCTAAATGTATTAAATGAATAATTTGAATATGCGCCCATATAACACAATGTCGCCCCCTAGCGGCTTGCAAAATTATATCGAACACTTTAAATTTGGAAACTTGTTGTAAGATATCGATATACCACATACATGACTTATCTAGTGATCATTTCCATAGCTCCAAAAATATACATTTATGTACTGAAATTTGTCAACTGTAATGTAATTATTCGATTTTCTGCAGGACGCCAACTCTAGTACTCCGGGCAAAAAGAGTCTGCAATTCGAAATGGAATGTGATGAGGACGAGGCCAGCTTCTCGGAATCGGGCAAGCCGAGCCAAATGTGGATTGAGGCGCGTTCTGTTTACATACAACTGAAATCCCTTGTAGACTCGCTCAAGGTGGGTCACGATGATGACTCAGGTATGTAAATCTAATTGATTGTAAATACATCTTTGCTCACCAACAAGCATGTCTCTTAACCGTGCAGGTCTGAATTCTGATATATCGTTGGATCTGGAGTCGATGGACAATACGATGTCCAGCACAGAGCGCAATGATAGCGATCATATGGCCATTGAGTTCCGGCAAGGCATGCTGTCAGCCATGTCGGATGAGCTGACGCGATTGCTTCTCAACTTGGATGCGGGCAACTTTAAGAAAATGCTGGACCAAACGCGCAATCTAGTGCTGGAACAGGAGGATGAGATCAAGCGCAGCCATCAGCTAATACAGCAGCTGGAGGCCAAGGTCACGGTGACGGATGTGGAGCTGCAAAATGTGAAAGAAGAGCGAGATCAAGCACGTGGAGATCTCGTCGATAACACCGATCGCGATGAGCTGCTGGCCAAGGCGCAAAAGGAACGCGATGCGGCCAACGAACGTCGCACAAAGGCCGAGGTGGAGCTGGCCAAGACGCGCGTCGAGCTGATGCAGGCCAATAGCCAGCTGCTGGAGTCTATTCAGCAGAAGGTGGAGCTATCGCAGCAGCTAGAGCAATGGCAAATGGATATGCAGGAGCTGATCGATGAGCAAATGCGATCCAAACTAATCAACAACCGTCGCAATGCCCCATCCGCCGAGACAACGACGGCGGCGCCCAGCAGCGCGGCAGCCCAGTTGGCCAAGCGGGTCTCCAGCTACAAACTCTGGAGCTTATTTCAGCGCTAAGTGGACAAATTTAACAATACGCTGGAAGATCTATGCAACTCTTATATTCTTAATGTAGGAAGGATCAACTACACATATATTTTTAATATTTATACACAAAAGAGAGCCTAGGCATATATATATATACACGTAATCATGTACGTATGTATGTATTTGTTGTAATTTGTATGTATATTATAATGATGCGACCTTCTTTGGTTTTGTAGTGAAATCTTTTTAATTACGCTTTATTAATCTTAAAGACATTATAATGTATTATTGTAATTGTACTCTCGTACCTATGTTTAAACAATATTCCTGTACACAAATTTACTTAACATTTAATCTCTCTCTCGTCTTTGTCCCCATTCGTATTAGTTTATCTTTTAATTTCTCTTAGATCAATCCGAAAATCGAAAGAAAAACAAAAAAGAAAAAAAAAAACATATCTCCCATTTTGTTAAGCATTTGGCAATAGGCTTTAAGCCTTTCCTGGTTCAAAAACTTGTGTTTGCGATTACGGAAATCAAAATGTTATAATCTAACCAATTATTGTACTTAAGCTGATTTAACCTTAAGCAAAGCATTTATGTTAAAACGAGGAAAAAGAATATATATATATATATATATATATGTATGTATGATATGAACGAGGCAAATAAATCGGAATTGTGCGCGGTCTTCGCAACGGACAACTTGCCTTAAATACGGACAATGAAAAGTTTAACATTTTAGATTGTTTAACTATATAACTTAACAATAAATCTATACAATATATAAAAAGTCTACTTTTTTACCATGAACTTGCTTTCTTGTCGGATTAGGTAAAGTATATTACGAATTTTAGTTTTGCTCATTCAGTGTAAAATCAACTTGAAATTTGAATACTCGCGCGCATAGGAGAATTGTAGCGCCACCTATCGTAATTCTGCATTAAGCGAGTTCAAAATTTAGTAATTTATTGTAAACTATCGATATGTATTCCATATTTAACCTATTGGACGCCCATCGAAATATATTATCGAAAATATTTGAATTTAAACATGCGTTAAGTCAACGCAGTTAAGGAAATAAAAACACGCCTTTGAAGATATACACATTTAGGTACATACACATTTTTTGAACAATGCATGGGTACAAAAATAGCAAAAACTTAAATTTTAATTATATTTCAGCCAAAATGTTACTGAAAAATTCAAATAAATTCCTTCCATGTGAAATTTTGATTGAACTTAAAGTTGTCTTGGGTTAAAAACTACGCTGATTCATTTAGATTTCATTAAAACTTAGCAGAAATCTCTTTTGTGAACTCGGAACATTTCGCCCGACCACCCAAATCGAAAGTTAGCCATCGACCCTCCTTGATAGTATCGAGAACAGCCTTCTCAATCTTATTAGCATATTCTTGCATGTTTAAATAGCGCAACATCATGACCGCCGATAGCAGTAAGGCCGTGGGATTGGCCAAATCCTTTCCAGCTATGTTTGCAGCGGTGCCATGCACCGATTCAAACAGAGCGCCGTTTAAGCCCATATTTCCTGAGGGTGTCAGGCCGAGGCCGCCGATGAGACCGGCGCACATATCAGATAAAATATCACCGTATAAATTCGGCATGACTAGCACATCGAACTCGGTCGGACTACTCGCCATTTTCAGACAAACCGTGTCCAAATGGCACTCATCGAACTGAATTTGTGGATACTGATGCGAGACGTCGCGCACGCTGCGCAGGAACAGACCGTCTGACATTCGCATTATGTTGGCCTTGTGTACTACGGTCACCTTTTTGCGATTGTTCTGCACGGCATATTCGAAAGCGTACTTTCCAATGCGGGTGGAAGCTTTTTTGGTGATCAGCTTGATGCTTTGGACAACGCCATTCACCACTTCGTGCTCGATGCCGGAATATTCGCCCTCTGTATTCTCCCGTATGGTGACCACATTAACGTCGTCGTACAGCGTCTTAAAGCCAGCGATGCTACGGCAGGGACGCACATTAGCAAACAAATCGAATTGTTTGCGCATTGCCATATTTAGCGATGCATGTCCATGACACACTGGCGTCGTTAATGGGCCCTTAAGGCCCACCTTGGTTTTGTTGATCGAATTGACAACTTGTTTCGGTAATTCACAATTTCCTTTGGGTTTAATCACTGGTTTCACGTCAACAGTTTCCCATTCAATTGGAACCTTAGCGGCACGGAAGATTTGCAGCACAGATGAACAGATTTCTGGGCCAATGCCATCACCGGGCATAAGAGTTACCCTTTTGATATGAGACGAGTAGTAACGGATGGCAGCGGGACACATGTTAAAAATGTGTATAAATCTAGCAATCATTTCGTATTTTAAGAGTCGAGAATCTTTGTGTGCATTAATAATTAATTTTAAGTTATTGCTTTCGCCAGCTTTCGTGGCGCATTTGTTTAAGCAATGTAGATATTTCGTAACCTATTTAATATGTCAAATACAGTTAACGTATCGATATATTTCGAAAGCTTGACTAGAATATATGGCCAGCTTTTAGAGTGATAGGACATATTTTATCTACTTGAATATACTTTTATTACAATTTTTAATCGATTGAAAATAATACAAGCCAAATTGTGAAAGTACGTGTTGATCTATTCGAAACGTTGAAGGCATTCGATTACTGCCCAAGCCGATAGCAAAATGGTCACATCAGCATGTAAAAGTAAGCTTGACGTATCGTATGTCTGACGGCGATATTTTAATTATCGATGTATCGATATATAGATATATATTTTTAGCCATCCCCAAGTTTTTCGAAGAACAAAAAGAACGGCAGGACAAGGCAGCAGTTTCAATTTCATTCCTAATTTATTGTAAAAGTAGTAAGCAACCAGAAGAACACACGGCAAACAATGCCTTCGGCTGCTACCACATTCACCAACACCAACAACAATAGCAAGGAGAAACGCGCCTCGGTCAGCTCCATTGGTGCTAGCAGCGTCGTCGGCGGCGGCGTGGGTGGTGGCGGCTGCAACAATGGTAACGCGAGCAACGGACAGCATAGCAGTAATACCAATCTTGCTGACTGTGCCAAGGCTGTTGTGGGAACGGGAACAGCACCAGGCAGCGGAAGTAGCCAAACTGATTTAACCAACAACAACAACATTAACGTCAATGCCAAAGCGTTGAAGCTGTCGGCTGCGTCTGCTACCGCGGCTACCGAGCCGTACAACCTGATGAAGCAAATTATGGTAACCATTGAGCACAAAATTCGCAATTTGGAGAAGCGTAAGGTAAGTGCTCAATAAGCAAAAAAAATTTCTTTTAGTTGGCTAACAATGCAGGCTGGCCCACCATTTTTTATTTTCGTTTGTGGGCCGCTTTGTTTCGTTTGCTTTTTTTGTCGTGCTGTTTCCCCCTTGTGCTCGCTGATTTTTCGCGACGCCATGTTTGCTATCACACAGAGTTGCCAGACCTATAACCGTAGCTATTAACCAAAACATTTTATTTTGTCTGACGCTGAGAGGGAACTGAAGTTTTAATTGAAAAAATTGTGATAAAGTATAGTTTGAATTTTAATTAATTAATAAATGCTTAATTTTTTAATTGAGTATTTGTGCGGATATAATGTGATGAAAAAAGACAATTCATAGGCGCCGGCGCTCGATCTGGCAACTTTGCTTCCGCATGTGAGCAGTCCCCTTTTGGTTTCACTTTGCATTTTGTTTGTTTAAAAAAAAAATATATTGAGAAAATGAAGCGACGGAAATATGTTTCTATTCGGATCTTGACTCACGGTAACATTCTTGTCTCGCATACAGACCAAATTGGAGTCGTATCGCGCCATTCAAGCTGGCGGCAAGGAACTGAGCGCCGATCAAGCAGCGGCCGTAGCAAAATACGATTCAGTCCTCGCAACTCTTGAATTTGCTCGAGACTACTCCAAGCAAACGCAGCTGATGTTTAAGGAAGCAGAAAAGGAACAGAAGAAACAAGCACGCAAGGTATGAGACTCATCTAAATATATAAAAATAAATAAAAAATAACATGAAAAAAAATGTGAATATTAAATATTGAATGTATTGTGTACAGGATAACCAGGCTAAAACGTTGGCAGAGACTGCCAAGATACGTGAAGTCTTGGTCATGCAAAACGTTCTCAGCTGCTTCAACGATGAGCAGGTGCGCAATGATTTCGTGGCTGGGGAAAACGGTGCCTGCAAACTGGAGATCAACGATTTGGAAGTGCTCGAAAAATTGTAAGTGGTTGAGACCTACAAAAAAATTAAAAATATAAGTGAAATACTTACACATTCAGTGTATAGATACATTCAGAATACACTTAAATTGTGATCTGAAGCCATAAATTCATATATTCTTCAACAATCTCAACTTGTTAATATAAGTTTTCGTGAGAGTTTAGTTTTTAGAAAAACTTTTCTTTCAGTATTCAATCAAGAATATTTCCTTAGAGAAAGTTATATTTAAAGTATCAGGAGAATCAAAAGTTATCTTCAGAAAAAGTTTTTGTTAAGTAGAAATATGAAGTTCTACAAAAGTATTCTTTTTGACTCTATAGACAATTTTTAAGCATGATTCTACTAGGCTATAGGAGTAGCTTTATTATATATATACATAAATATTTGGTGATTCATGAGAACCTTGATATATGTTCTATAATTTAGCTGCATGGATGTGCAAACACGTCGACCGGAGACTGCTGAGGACATAAGTTTCCTGACAACCGCTCAAAAAGCAGCCGAACTCTTTGCTATGACCATCAATGCTCGGGCTAAACCGTACGGTGAGATGACATTTGAGAAGCTCCGTGCGCTCTTCCAACAGATTCAGGACAGTGGCTATTTGGACAAGTACTATTTGATTCCACTAACGGAACAGAATGTGCAGGGCAACTGCACAGACAGCGGCACGGTTAGCGGTGAGGGCGAGACACTGCTTAATGATGTGGCAGGCATTGCAGGTGATCACGATGTGCCTATGTCGGAACCCTCAGCCCATAATTCGCTGGAGGAGGGCTTGGACAAGCTGACCACTGCCGAGGCGGGAACTGGGCTGCCTGAACTGCAGCAACAGGAACGAGGTCATCTGTTGCTTGAGCCGCAACATCAGCGTGCGCCCATTGTCGATCAGCAGCAGCAACAGCAGCAGCAGTTGCTGGTGCAACAGCAGCAACAGTCGGGTGTTTATAATGCTGCTTCAGCAACTGCAGCTGCAGGCAATACAACGCCTGTACACGTTATGTACGCATCAGCGCCGCCTCAAGCAACGCATGTGCCGCCGCCGGTTCAGCATCCACATCAGTTGCTCAGCAGCCCCGTGAATCTCCAGGCCTTGCACGGTGTGCCGCAGTCGCAGCCGCCCCAGGCGGGCGTTGCCGCTGCGCCATCAGTGCCTACGCAGCAGCAGCAGCAACAACAGCAGCAGCCGCAACACTTTGGACCGACTACAGTGCGCGCTGTGGAGCACAATTATTTCAAACAGCCGCCGCTGCAACCACCGCAGCCAACTGCTTCTCTGCAGGCGCCCACGCCCCAACAGCAGCAACAGTTTATGCAGCAGCTGCGTCCGCTGGCTGAGGTTCTAGGCACCGGCAGCTTCCACTTTCTGCAGGACAGCGAATTGGACGCTCCGGATGTGCTTCCGCCACAGCAGCAACAACAGCAACAGGCACCGCCACCGCAACAACTACAGGTGCAAGGCTTGGTCTTTGAGCAGCAACAGCAGCAGAATCATGTAGATGAACCCCAAACCATTACAACCCTGACCTTTACCAATCAGTCCTTCCCGTCCTTGCAGCAGCCTCAGCAGCCACCGTCACAGCCACCACCACAGCAACAGCAGCTTTTCTCTCCTGTGCTGATCCACGATCAGCAGCGCCAGCAGCAGCAGCAGCCACCGATGCTTATCATGGCACGCTTGGCGACACAGCAGCAGCAACAACAGCAACAGCAGCCTCCACAACCTCCTCAGGGTATAGGCATGCAACCAGGCGATGTGACTGCCGGATTTCCATATGACGCCGCAGTTGTCAGCTATGAGCAGCAACTGCAGCAGCAATTGGGACTCAAGTCACAGCAACAGAAACAACAGATTGAGGAACAGCAACAGCAGCAGCATCCGTTGCAACAGCAACCTGCCAATGATGTGGATGGTAATGAGTGGCATGCACGTGGAGGCGTGAATGATACCAATGCAGCTGCCACAGCCGCATTAACCAATGTGCTGAAGACGCAATCATCGGCGCTGGCCGAGCAAGCAACGCCAACATCCGGAAATAAATGGAGCACTGAAATGAATGCGATGAGTAGCGCTGCCTCAAATGGCAGTAATAGCAGCAACAGCAACAAGCAGGAGTGGGCCACACCACGCGACAACAGCAGCGGTCGCGGTGGCTATGTTAATGAAAACGACAGCGGCAACAATCATTGGAACTCCTCACAGCAGGACAGTGGCAACCAGATGCGTCGCAATTCCGGAAACTATCAGCAGCGCCGCAATGGAGGCGGTGGTGATGATCGTGGTCGTAACGGCGGCGGCAACTATCGCACACGACAATATGGTAACTCCTCAGCCCAGCAGAATGGACGCAATAGCGGAGTCTATTTCCGCAATAACGAGTCGAGCGGGGGCGGTGGCGGTGGCGGTGGAAGCAGCGGCGGGGGCGGTGGTGGCGGCGGCAACTACTACCAAAATGGTGGTGGTGGTGTTTATAATAAAGAGTCGCGTTATGATTCCGCAGGCGGCGGTTCCTATCGAAGCCAGCGTGGTGGCAATCAGCGTAATGGCAATGGATCGTTTGGACGGCCGATGGGTGATCGCGGACGCAACACGGGCGGCGGAGGGCCCGGCAACGGTAGCGGAGGCTACATCAATCAGCGTCAATCACAACAGCAACGCATGCCGCTGAGCTTGGAAAATAAAAATTAAACAGTGAAAAGCGTGGGAAAAGCGACGGTGCAGCTGTTTGGCCGTGGCACATGTATTAACAAAAAGCTCCTCTCATACACTCATACACATACACAACGCATATATAAGCATTACGCATCATCAGTACACACACAAACGTATATATATATATGTATATGTATATGTATATATATATCTAAATGTATATATATATATATCTATATATATGCATGTATTTATCTATATATACATATATATGTATCTATATAAATATACATATAAATATATAATATATATATATATATATATATATATATATATATAAATTAATTAATATACATATATAGATACATATATATATTTATATACATATAAATATATATATAATCAGCCACGTTGGCGTTCAATTTACCGTTAGTCAGCAACGTGAAAAGATCCAAAAAAAAAAAAACAAAAATAGAAACAAAATGAGAAAAACTGTTTGCGCATTTTTTTATAAATACAATTTAATGTTTCTATATAATTATGATTTATTTAATTAATAATTAATAAAAACAAACACAAAAATATAGTTTTTAGAACACTTACGACCCAACCATACAGGAAAGTTAAACAAATAAAAATATTAAAATGAATGCAAAGGGGTTTCTAAAACCCCACAGCAAAGGAAGACACAAATGTAAAAGATGAGTGCATGGACACTGGACAAACAGCTGTTAAATGAAAGCGAACAGAAAACAAATATAGGGGAAAAGGAGCTTGGAAAAGTACGTACTTTTCCAAGATAATAAAATAGATGGAAACATAAACAGAAAAAAGTATTTATACGTCTTAGCGATTAAATTAAAATTTTGAAACATACAAATTATATTTAATGAATTAATATAATACATTGCGAATGGATGATTAACATATGAAAAGAAAACGCAACTTATGTAATTTACTATAAACAAATATATTTATAGTTTGTGCTCTTACTACCAATTTTATTTAGAAATGTTTTTTTACAACTCAGCGCGTATGAAAATAATTAACATATGTGAATGTAGTGCTGTATATGAAAAGATAAATACATTATGCCCGACTTATGTGCATTACAGAAAATTGAAGAAAAAAATATATGTATTTATATGCGAAATAGTAACATTAAAAAAAATTTGATTTAAGTAAAGTATATTCTGCCTTATAGATGGAATGTCATCTTTCATATTGACTAGGTTTGCTTATGTTTAACTGGGAGCTTTGGCTCAACTACCGGGCTGCTTGAACCCTTTGTAGTACCGCATAGAAAACAGAGCCCCGCTAATATAAGCGCGATGCCAACGCCAGATAATAATGTCAACGGTTCCCGATAAACAAGAACACCTAAAATAAACTAAAACAAAATGGATTAAGGTAATAAGTAAGTCACAAATATATACCAATTCATGCGTACAGATATCACATAATTGGAGGCAGCAGTTAAGACCGTTGCTGTCAACGTCTGTTGGGTCATTTGCAAGGCCTTCAAATAGTAACGTAAATTGCAAATATTAAAAAATAACATGAGGCCAAGGGGCAGCAACTGAACTAATGCAAATTCTAAAGAAATATAAACAATTGACAATTAATTAGTACGTGATTATTGGATATACTTACCGGCATACACATAGCCGGCGACCGGTTGTTCTGTATCCGCATGCACCAAGTTCATTGCACTGATGAAACTGGGCAACTTGCCAAAGAAACTGCCGCCGGCGGCGCATGCGCCAGCTAAAAAACTATAGCGGTACTTAAACAAAACATCCATTTAAATTTATTTTTAAAGCTTGTCAGCTGTTGTGGCGCTGCCAACTTTATCAATATGTAGTGTTAAATCATTCAATACATTGTCACAACTACTTATAATTAACAGTGTACGAGAGCATCGTCTATAAAATATCGACTGTCCCAAAAACCATTGTATTGTACTCAGCAACTATGAGTTCACTTACTGATTGAAATTATGCAAAAAACTTACAATTTTACAAGCTTGCAATTTTTATATTACTTATGCATTTGCAGTTTTAAAAAGAACATCCATTGGTAATGGATTTTATATTTTTAATCGATATATCGTTATGAGTCACTGTTGAAAGACTCAGTATAGAACAATCGTGTGCGTAGTCTGTTAACAGTGCTTAGTACGGCAATCATCTGATGTGGATATGAAATTATGTTGACAAGCTTCCAATTGACGTGCTAAGTTGGCTTGCCTTATTTTTTAATATTTTTATCGCGGATTTATAGATCTTACCGCTGTTTCCTATATACCACTACCACTACCACTACCACTTAGGCACATACATACACTTTAGCACCTACAAAAAAACACCGATAAGTTTGCGCCAAAATTCAAATATGTAAAAAGTGTTAGTCGATTTAATGGTATTCTCATCCGCAGAATAATGATAGCGTTTCTTTCAATTGTTATTTATGTAGAATATTGTTATTTCACAGATTGTCTGTAGATTAACAAGTTTTATTGACTGATATTCATAGCAGAGGTATCGGAGCTGACATCGGCTATATGAAAAGAGCCATCTTCGGCGGGCAGATCATCTTCATCTGTGTACAAGCGACGTAAGCGCTCCTTATATCTTTAAATACACAAGATAATAAATTTACAAATATTAATAAATGTCATATCGGAACATACAGTTCGCTGTCGGGATTATTGTTCTGATTGCGACACTTCTCCAATTTTTTTTCGATAGCCTTGACTTTCTCCCGATCTGGCGGTTGATAGTTTTTGACTAACATACGTATTTCTGAAATTATTAATGTGGTTTTAGAAGCGGCCATGTGTGCATTCTCATATTACTCACTGCGCACTGCATCGATTAGACTCGGCAGCTTCTCTCGAGCCGACACAAAGAGTAGATCTGTGACATAGCTGTCTAGGTTCTCTTGTTCTTTGCTGGCCGCATGCAGCACAGCAGCGAGTCCAATCTGCGATGGGGTATGCAGCAGACAGGCGTCTGTGAAAAATGTCGAATCGATAAAGCTATCTATTTGCGGACGCAAACGTTCTGGATTTTGCATGTTGCTGCGAGTCTGCGAATGTGTAAAAGAAGTGTCAGTCAGAAATATATTTAAATTAAAAACAGATTGCGTTCCGTGCCTTGATGTCTATTAGGAAACCTTCAATCGGGCGGAACGGATTGTGAATTGTGAGGTAGTAGTTAAGTTGGCCAATTAACAATAGTTCATTTGAGAGCACTATGTCGGTGGCCTTGTTGCGGTCACCTTTAATGTTGTTTACAAACTGATTGATAGACACATTAAACTCCTCCACTTTACATGCAACAAATACGCAAGTAGCTCTAAAAGCAAAGAAAATGGTTAAGCATAAGAAAACAAATGTGTATTAACAATAAAATTTCAAGCTCACAATATTTCCTTGGGATGATAGTCCATGGGTGTATTGTTTAAATAAAATCGCTTGAAGTAATGAAATGCTGTGCCAATCACGCATTTCGGCATGGGCGGATCAAAACGCCGGCAAAAGTCAACCAAATAAATTTCATATTGTTTGAGCAACAGGCGCTCTTCAGCCGGCGTCAGAAAGTAACTTTCGAGGCTGGCTGATGGTGGCACATCATTCTGATGCTCCTCGATGTATTTGGTGTTCTGCTCCACCCGGAATACCTGTAGCTGAGCCTCGTTTGCAAAAGTCCAAGATCGTTTTTGTGAACTCAGCGGATACATTGTTAAACATAGCTATTTGTCAATTTACAAACTGTTTGCGTTTGCCATTCACTGGTAAATTGCAAATATAGCAACTATCGATAGCTTCGTCAGGGAAACGCAGCAAAAGATATCGGTAGTTTCTAGTGATGCCATATGTATTGCATACTTTTAGACGCCGGTAAATAAACCACTTACACACATTCAAATCGTTGTAAGATACAGATTCAAATAATACAGCTGTTTCGGCAATTTGCACATTCCACGTGCTGCACATTTCAGGTAAGAACAGCTTACAGAAGGCAGCGGCAATCGCTTGACACATCGAAACTCTGAAATTGCTTTGATTTTCTGTTTTCGATGAAATTGGGTCATTCGACTGTTTGTTCTCTCCGCAGCTTACGCACATCCTCTCCTGTGTGTTTAACTCTTATTGTAGTGCTCACAATTGTATACTCTTAATTGATATTATATTACAGCAAATTGTGTTTGCAAAACTAAAGAATAATTGTCATAAGCTTGGGTGATTGGGTTCTCGGTATTTTTAGTAAAGTCAATTTTTTAAATACATTTAAGGTATATATTAATTATTACAATTGTACATAACGAAGCTCAGCACGAACCGATAATACCCTGAAGGCTACTCTACACTGAGTTTTCTGTATACTTTGTATGCAAGGAGCTGCGTGCTGCGGCAATAAAATTGCAATTAATTTTTATTGACAACTCTGAACTCTTGTTACAACGTTTTGTTGTTGATCTTTAAGCGATTTCTCTGTCGCAATGTGGAAGGCGTTTTGCCGGTGCGCACCGACCTCGGATGGGAAACGAAAGATATGAAAGACCACATACAACTGAATAGGAAACTGAAAAATATTTCAACCGAATGACTTCTTTGATAACTACAATATGCTATGATTTTGTATGATGATCCTTTAGACGACTTTCCGAATAACATCTACATGAAATAGACCACCCAAAATGGGGATCTACTTATGTAATACAATACAAATATATTTCGTTGCGATTAACGACTGTTGAACTTCGGGCGTACAATAAAACGAAATAAATAAATAAATCTATGACTGAAAAAGAAATCAGTTTACAATAAAAGCTGGCCCCAGCATTTACAAACAATGAAATTCAATGCAATAATTCAATATTCAATTGAATTTTAAGCACGCCTCGGCTCGACCGGAGCCTCCTCCTTGAATCTTTGAAACTAGAAACTGGCCCATGAAGTCCGACCGTCCGTGCGTCCAGCTCTCTGACGGCAATCCATCTCAGCTTGTCTGGGCCGCACGCGCACAGACCGAGATAAGCATTCAATTACATACACACAGCTGTACATAGGTGCATATGCAAGTGTGTGCGTAAGAGGGAATTGGCCTCAAAAAGCACTTGGCAAAGAAAGCCCGAGCTCTGAGAAGTAACAAAAAGCATATGAGTGACACAGTCAAATGCAAACAAATATGTCGAAGTCGAGGATCATGCTAGATTTTGCCATAAAATGCAACTATTTTCCAGCGATTGAATTAGACATTTTAAATGTATTATCTCAGCTACTTGATATCCATCAGACTTACGAAAGCTGTATAGGACAGTTTTTAATTTCTTTCGCTGTTCTGTACATGAGCTAGCAGTCAGCAGCCAGCGTTCAATCACTTCTCTTGCAATGGAATGCAATCTTATGGGCCTGTAGTAATCCAGCAGATTCGCTTTCCTATTTTGGAATATGTCTCAATCTGAGCAATGCATTAATTAAGAACTGGAGTCCGAGAAGCGAGCCAGTGTAAAAATCTTAATTATTAGTTATTCTTTTTTATTATTTTAAATATTTTTAATTTTATATTTTTATTTATTAATTTTTTTTTTTATTGGTTTCTGGCGTTGATGACAATTGTTGATGTCTATCAGCGACATCAATAAAATCAATGCGAAATTGTCTTCAATAGGCATCCTCACACTTACACGCACACACACGCACACACCTATACACATAGGCACACTTACGCACTCACTTGGCCAATCACATTCGTTTTACACTATTGCATATATGCATTTTAGAGTCATACATATATGTGTGTATGTGAGGCGGACAGTAGTTCGGTACGGTCTATCAGTATGTATTAATATATTTGCAGGCACCGTGTTTGTTGTGGTTGCTGCTGTTTCTATTGCTTGCTTCAAATATAGCGTGTGGTCGGCTTTTGGTATCTCACTTTGTCGCTACTCTCAGGGGGCGTGTTTTCACATAGACAAAAAAAAAACCAGCAAATAATTGAATGTGCGAATGTTCAAATTTGTCTGCTTGTATATGTGTGTGTATGTGTTGCTTTTCACTTGGGGCTTAGCCAATGGGAAACATGTATAAATACATACTTAACTCCACGCATGCATTGGCTTTGAGGATTTCACTTTCAGTTCGTTGCCTAAGTCTTTTGATTTCGAGTGAATAGCAAAGTTAAAGATGAACAAATTTAGCTTGAATTACATTTTGGCAGTAATTTAAATGTGTTGTAAATAAAATATGCTTAGAGAAAAATAAATATATTCATTGAATCTAAAATAATATTGAGCGACATTTATTTGTTATTTACTTTTCTGTTCCGAGTTTGCTGCTGCAGTCATTTGTTGTCATATCTCTTCGGCATTGTCATAATTACATTTATATAGTCAATATCCACATAGTTGACATTTGGAAATATGTCAGCCGGCTTACGTAATGAATAAGGCATCGACTATATACGACTATACGCCTCTCAGTTAGCTGTCTTCCAGGGATTGTGATGGATATACACATAAGCACGGGTCATGTGACAGTTGAATCGCAAATATATTAAACAATTTGCTGTAGATGGTCATGTTAAGTCTGCTCATGTGTCAATTCATCCAATGCAACTCTTAATGCCAGGCCAGAGATACGGAAAATTCATTCCAGTGCATGGCCAGTGCTGCGGACTAAACATTCGGCAAAAGTAAAAGATTTTGGTATTTTGCGGTCACTTTGGAGATGCTGTTAGGTTCGTAGGATTCGTTAGGATTCTTCATAACTGTTTTTTATTCGTTTGCTGCCTTTTACATTGTGTTCGCTTAGCTTACATGTCTACGAAATAAATTATTTAAAATTAAGAAAACAAACAGAAGGGCAAAAACAACATGCAGATTCAAAATGACTTATGTATAATTCACATGCTAAAAATAAATTAAATAAAAACACACAAGTAAATGACAGTCAATTGTAAATTTGGCTAAGCACTATTAATATTTATATATATTTTAGTGTGTGTTTACGAGAGTGTTTCGAATCGCTTAAATGCTGTAATTGAGCTAAAAACAATTTATTTGTACATACTTTCACTGGCACCAATATCGAATCGTTTGCTAAAAGCCAAGAGGGTCTGCAGAGTGCGTGTGCTAGGTCTGCCCTATGGCACTCTGCAGGCTTCGCTTCTGGGCAATCACAACTACAACAGCTTCCATGGCTCTATCCTGTGAGCGTCTGCGAACGGACCAGGGTCAGGTCGAGGGGCGTGGGCTTGCGCACAAAGGTGGAGGGCGAGGCGGATGGCAGGTTGGCTGACTCACTGTGTGGGCTGTTGGAACTGTTTGCCGTCGGACTTACAGCATCCGTTCGCGATCTTAGCGATAAATCTATGGGCTCCTCCTCCTCTGCCGGACTGCTCGCTGGAAAGGGAAATAACAGCTCCGACTTAAATTGCTCCTTGAAGATGGGCAACGGCGGCATACTGCTGGCCATGAAGGCTGGCGGTAGAGTGAACGGCGTAAAGGAGCTGTACAGCGGCTCCGAGTGGCTGCGAAAGATATCCAGCAGCTCCTTGTGGCGTCGCTGTTGCTGCTCCGCAATGTCCGCCTCGGAGCTGCCCGCATAAGCGGAGCTGCTCTGCCGCATCGCCTTCCTTAGGCTGCTCGTCGTGGCGCTCAGCACGCTGGTGCCATCGTCCGTGGGATCGCCGGCCGAAGAGGCGCCAGAATCGCTGGGCGTATTGCTGAGGCGGGACTCGAGCTTCAGCTGGCGGTGCTGCTGCTGCTGCTGCTGTTGCTCGTTCAGATACTTGGCTGCTTGCAGAAATCCAGGCAAACTGGGTGCTGGCGTCGAGGCAGTAGCTGCCGCTGCCGCTGCCGCTGCCGTTGTCGTCTGCAGTGCTAGGGTGGGCGAAGTGGCTGCCGTGGCCGATTTGATGCAGGGATTCGTTTTGTCCTGGTAAGTTTGTCGCGCCTGATTGCTCGCCTGCTGCAGCCGCGCCAACTGATCCAGGTTGGCGTTGCTCACGCTGGCATTGCTCATGCCCGCGCCGCTGCCCTGTTGCTCCTGCAGCAAGCAGTGTATCTTGAACCAATTGGAGCGACGGCCATAACGGGAACCGCTCTTCGACATGCCCACCAGCAGGCACTTGCGCAGTCGGCAAGCCTTGCAAGCCGTGCGATTCTTCTTGTTGATGACACAATCCCCGTTGTGCTTGCAGCCGGCGATCGCTGCGATGTTGTTGTAGGTGCGGCCAAAAAACGACTGAAACGACGCAAAGATTTTGAATCAGTTCAAGAGTTTGTTTTTAAATGTTGAGTGAAATGAATGAAAGCCTATAAACAGTTTATGGTAGAATTCTTTAACAATTTCATTGATATTTAAATTTTCTACTTTTTTTTCTCTATTCTTTTAATAATATAAAACTATCATTTTATTTCCTTTTATTTTAGATATATTAGTCAAATTGTCTTTTTGCTTGCTTTTAGTTTCTAATTTACAGTTTATTTACACTACATTTAAAATTTATTAAGTGTTTTGCTAACTCTGTATATATCACACATTAGATTTATTATATGTTTTTGTTGGTCCAAATTAATGTCAGAGAAAGATTGTCACCTATTAAGAATGTTAACTAAATTTCGAAGATATTTTAAGTTTTGTGCCTTTGCGCTCAGAATTTATTTCAAGCATTAAATTTCATAATTCAAGAAATATATTTTAAGCTTTTAATTACATTTATGCAAATATTACAAACTGCAGATAATTTGCTCTTTGGTTTAACCCTAACTAGTTATGGACGGCCTCCTCCTGACGCTATCAAGTAAATTGCTCATTGAGATATCTTATGATATCTTATATGAAATCTAAATCGACCTTCCGAGAGCCACTCAGAGCAACACAAGATTTTGTAGCTCAAACAACTATGATTTTTAAAGAAAAAATGCTGAAGGTGGAAATCAAATTGTAGAACTCGAGTTATTTTTATTTAGCTAAATTTGATTAAATATATATTTTATTTTTGTTTAATAAATGACTTGATTTTAATTTGATTTTGATTCAAGTTAGACTAAAAAGTTGGCAAAACGATTTGAAACTTAATTTCTAACTAGCTATCTATAAATAAATATATTTATATATATAAATAATAACACAAAATATATAATATTTAATAACAAAATATATGTGATATAAATTTCGCTTATTTTTGAGAGAAATCTACATTTTGTTTGGCTCTATTCTCGCTGCCTTTATGAGAAACATCAGAGGCTGTATGAGCTGCTGGCGTACAAAATCAATTATTGTTGATACCTTTTGCACCTGTGATTAGCATTCAGCAAGTGGCATGATTTCGATCAGCTCAGCGCCTCAATTACAAAATGTGCGTTAATAAATTGCCAACTGCTTGTGCCCCAGCCCCAGCCCCAGTCACTGCCCTGTCCCGGGCCCTGCCACTGCCCCTGCCCCAGCCATGGTGATTAAGCGAAAGAGTTTCATGCACTATTTAATGTATGTGAGTGCTTTTGTTTTGTTTAGTTGTTCGTTTGTTGTTGTTGTTCTGTTTTAGCCAACTCATTGGAGAGCTGCTGGGCCAACTTGTTCGCATCGATGTTGAAGTTCATTGAGCGCCATGTTCAGCGAATAAGTTAACTTTGATGCTTGGCTCTTGCTATTGCCTATTCGCTGAGTCATCTAATATGCATGTAATTTTTATTTGATTGACTGCAGTTTACAATTGTGCTCGCCTTGAGCTCAGTGCTCGCTCTCTCTCTCTCCCGCTCCCGCTCACTCTTCCTCTCTCACTCTCTGGCTGTATAGGTATACATGGATAGTCGAGCCATCAGCTGCTGCTCTAAATTTGCAGATATTTTCCCATGGCATTTGAAGGTTCAGCCATTGTGTACGTCCTCGCATCTACTTAAAGTCAATTAAAAATCAATTAATCTACCGAATTGAATTTTAATTATAGCAATAATATTTCTGGCCTGCAAAAGTAAAAGCTAAATTTGAGCTCATTTTCGCACATTTTAAGAGCATGCAAAAGCTGTTGCTTCCCACAACTGTCGATATATATACATATATATATATATATATATATACCATTAACATTATCTTTTTATTGTTTACTAATATTTACCTTGCAGCCCTCGCATGTGAATGCTCCAAAATGAAAACCAGCCGCTGGTTCGCCGCATACTTTGCACAGCTGGTTCATCTGAAATGGACAATTGTTGTTTTGGACTTTAAGATTGATTGATTAACTTATCTTAGTATTAGCATAAACACGGAATGACTAAACTTTAGACTTTTAATTATGCAATTGTTACAATTGTTGCAAATGTTTGTGTTTTAAAGAAAGTTCGTGGATCTAAAATTTGAGAAAGTTTTCTTGTTCTTAAGTAATTAATTTTGTATTATTAATATTGTAATTTTGTAATTATTAATAAAGTTCTTTGATTATAATTAAAATTAATAAAATCCAGAGCTAAAAGCTGCCATATGTTTTTTTGACACAGAATCCATTGCAAATTGCGATTCAAGATAAAGTTATATATGTATGTATATATTTTTTTTGAATATATTTCTTTTTATATTTATATATATTAGTGCTGAATCTATAAATTAATTACTATTAAAAAGTAAAGGGACTTCTTTATATTTTCTGCTGTAGCAAATTAATTTTAATATAATATTTAATACAATATTTAATATAATATAATTATTATATATTTATAGGTATTTCTGGGTAAGCTAAAGTTACATTAAAAACATAAATATTTTATTTATTTATAATTTTGTTTTTCCAATTAAATGTTCGTTAAGAACTTCATACAAATTTCATACAAATGATTTGATTGAAATTCGATTATATGCAAATATATATATAGCTTAGGGATTATAGCTTAAGTCTTGTAAAACCCTTTCTTTTTATTGATGAACAGCTTGTCAGGCTTACGTAGAAGACTTCGCTCACACACTAGGCAACTGCAGCAGTGAAAATACTTAACAGCAACAATAATAACAAGGAGAAGAGGAAGAAGCAGCAGCAGCAGCAGCATCAGTGGCAGCATAACCGATGACCCACTGCGTTTCTCTTTACTTCTTCTTCTTTTTTGTTGGATTTTGTATTTTGAGCTTTTGGCACAGGTCGTGGTTAGAAATTGAGGTATGCGACGACCGGTTTGGGCTGGCACCGTCCAAGACAGGGTAACGACAACTCGATTCCCGGCCTGGTCGCACTTCCCTCCGCATGAGGATGGGTCGTGTTCACACATCTAATGTACGTAGTTACTTGTTTTCTATGTTCATAAAGCTAAGGTCAAGAAAAAAAGAATACAACAACAACAACAACTGGGAAAACTGCGCAAACTTTTTGCGTCAATTATTTGATCAGCGTGGAAATGTTTTGGAATTTTGAAATACTTTTCGCTGTCTAGAAATTGAGGGAAATAGAGGGAATATCTAATAGAGAAATTAAAACAAAAGAAAAAAAATTAAATTGATATTTGGATTAGCTAATTGCCTCTTAGTTGTCGAAGGCTCGATGAGAAGCATGTGTGAGCGGCCTATGGACTCCATTTGAATGGTAAGAATTTTAAGGTTTTTTTTGGTAATAATAACAATATTTTCTGTTGCGACTAAGGGTATTTGATACAAGAAAATTGAAGAGAAAGATTAATATTATAAAGCGCTTCGTACATATATAGATTTATTTGTGAATACGATCAAATAGTGTAAGACATATTATTTAAAAAATTATCTCGAATTTTAGTGATTGAAAATTAAATGTGAGAGTCGACGATTTTAACTGTTGAAAGACAATTGACAGCAGAAAAGCAACTTAAGGTGCTGAGGAGGCTGAAAAGCGTGCGTGATAAGGCTACTTCGATATCAGATTCTGATGCAGCAGCGATACTAAATCGTGCCTTGTCAATTTTGTAATTATGATTTGTCTTATTTCAAGCTGCATATTAAATTAATTAAAATTTATAAAAATAAATTAAAAAATAATAAATAAAAAATAAAACTTAAAAATATATAAAACGAACTTTGCCTTGCTTTAGCCCATGCCTGAAGCCTACTTAGAAACTTAACTAAAGCTGGTCCATGGTAGGACTCTCTTACATTGAAAAGGAAGCGCTTTACATAAACGTTTAGCTGGGATGAGCATCAAGATCTGAGCACAAAGTACTTGGTTTTTGGGTTGTTTGCTGCGGCTTTTCTTTTGGCGCTTTGTTGAGTTTTCGCCATGGGCATCGGCATTGCCATCGTCTCGGCCGATCGCAATTCAGTTTTTTCTTATTTATTTATTTATTTATTTATATACATATATATAGGTTTTTCTGGAAAAGCGCACCGCTGTGCCTAAAATTGTCACGGTTTTTTGTGAAGGTGCAAATTTAATGTTTGCCAATTTAGCAGCGCTCGCTGTCACCTTTGGTGTCCATTAGCGCGCGTTTATATGCAAAGTGGCGGTCTGGCGTGTTCGCCATTATCACAGGAGCAGCATCACGCCGGGCCACCACCTGCTGCGCGCTGGCCGCAACTGCCAAGCGCGATTCGCCCTCCTGCCCAGCCAAACGGTGTCAAGATATGGACACAATAACGAACTTACCGGCAATGGGAATGGAAATCCGACTGCGAATGCGAATGCGAATAGGAATGGCAATGGCAATGGGAATGGGAATGAGTATGGGCAGAAGGGTATGGCTATGGGATGGCACTACAACAGCGTTGCAAGACGTGAAGTGCTTATGTTTAATGCTTGGCATTTCCGCACTGGCACTTTATTGGGTCACAGCTCTCTTTAGCTCCACTAACTGAATCTTCAAATTATATATTAGCTCACATTTAAAGAGATACTTTAAAGATTTATAAAGTTATGTACGCTGAGATGGCAGCTATGAAATATCAATTTGAAACTTAAGCAACACTAAATCCATGCAATAGAATTGAGCTTTGAGCCTGGATCTACGATGCTCAGCTGCCTAGGTGGGTAGGCCACTTAGCTCTTTCATCTCTTAAGTTCTTTTTTAATAAAGCATTATTAGTTAATGAATATTTATTATGAAAATGAAATGGCCAATTTAATATATGTTTAAATTTAAATTTGTGTCTAATGAAAATTAATTTTATAAAACAAATTTAGAATTGAAGTTTATTTATGATTTTAGATGTGCAGCAGAGGCAAAAGTCTTTTATTTAAATAATCTGTAGCAGACGGAATATGTGATTTCATTTCATTATTTTGGTTTTTTTCTGATACATTTTGCAAAAAAGGAAGAAATGCCCAACGACTAAGCTAACTTAGAAAGAGAATTAACGCCTTTGCTTATTCACTAACTCGTCAGTCTTCAGTCAACAGCTGTAGCTTAATGATGAATCTTCCATTTTATATATTTGTAGCAAAAGCTAATTTAATCACTGTGCTGGAAAATTACAAACTTTAGCTGTCGATTGCAGTCAAAGTCTCGAGTACCTTCAAATACTAGTTTTCTGCCTGTTAGTTTGAAGCTTTGTTCGCTGTTCGCTGAGAACAGAAGCAAACCGAATCTCAATCATTTGGCAACAATGAGAACAAGATCAGTTGGAGAAGTAGATATGTGCATATACATTGAACAAGCTCATCAAGTAGCCGTTGACAGAGGCGAGCGGGTCGACGGGTCGACGGTAAAGGATTTTCAGCAATAAGCATGGCAAAGAATAATAAACAGAAATGTGTCCTTTAAAGCAAACAAAATGTTGTACACTGCAAATCAGATAAAAGGCATTTATCCCACTGAACAACAGCAAGAGCCTTTCGAACAAGACCCAAAAAAAGGAGGTGTTCAAACAAGCAAACCACGATTGTTGAAAAATATTTTGCAGCAGATACAAAATAGAACAAGACAAGGCAAATGGGCAAACAGGAGCACTGTAGACAAATACCAGCTCGAGATCAACTCAAATATCGGTGACACACACAGAGAGAGGGAGAGAGAGATTGAGAGACAGAGAGAGTGAATACAATAAACAATTGCCCATAATATGCTTTATTATTAGCCTCTGCCAAAAGACATCGCAATATGCAAATCCATTCAACAGAGTCACACGCTCTAGTTTGAATTGTTCGCTTCCTGACTGCCAGCCAGCCAGTCCGTCCGCCCCTCTGCTCTCCCATCCTTGTCGACGCTGGCTCTTCTGAACAGCTTCCTTAGCCCTTTTCTGCTTGATTGCCAGCAGCAGTCGGACAATTATATGTTTGAATATCTTCAAGTTTTTTTTCTCTTCTCTCGTCGCCCTTTTGTAATAATTTCTTGACACTTATCGCACAAAAGGCAATAACATAATTAATGAGCATGTCAATGAGCGTCTTTTGTTTTCAGTTGCGCTTCCTGAATGTAGTCGCTTAGCTAATCCCTTGAGCGTGACACATGAGAGACCCACTGCACCAACTGGTTGCTTCCGATATCCTTCAGATATCGTCACAACTATTCCAATTGATATTCCAATTCAAATCTCATATGCTTTATTTAGCATTAGCATATGCATTAATATTTATAAATTGTTTTATATAAACAGTTTTATCAGATTTTAATATCACCTATGACTAACTAGCTATAAATCAGCGAACTGTCAATGAATATAATATATCAGCAGACGATTATAGAATGATGAGCACTGCGCATGGTGTGTCTACATATTTATAAATTTATAAGTATATATGTAAACATATATTTTCTAAATATTATTAACTATTTTCTTGACTCACTCACCTTTTCACAATATTTTTATGCAGTAAACTGCATAAATTCTTAAGTTTCAATTTTTTCTCAGCTTTAGTTTTTGTTTTCGCTTTCGTTATTTCTTTTTTTATTTTTTAAATTTTTAAGTATTATTAACTTGTACACAAAACACACTTTTTTCCATATATATTTCACAAATCTTTAAAACATATTATTTATACCAATAATATTTATGCGTTTGCATTATGTGGGACGCTGTTGCTGTTGCACTATTTTGGCGACGGCTTTGCACAAAACTTGGTCGAGAGTTGAGAGTCGTGAGTCGTGAGTCACGTGCGCGAACCGTTACCGAAGAGCGCGTGTATCCTCACGTGAGATTGCTTCAGTTAGCGGTATTCTGCAGCCTTGCGATGCTTTGCAGCGTAGCGCCCATCCGAGACTAAATCGTCATCATCGTTCTGAGCTCCAACCAGCCGACTGACTGGCCCTGGCCTCAAAGATCGGCAGCCAGCAGCAGCAGGCAGCGGCAGCAGCCAGCAGCCAGCAGCTAGCAGCATTAAAGTCGCGCGCGCACGCGTCTTCACTGTATTACGAATGTGTGTGTGAGTGAGTGAGTGAGAGTGTATAGGCAGCCCAGTCGGACATTTTAAGTTAACAGCCATAATTACCTATAGAAGATGTATATCGTATACAGCCCAGCATTGTACTTAGGTATATAATATATAACAAATAAAATATAAATAAATACAATATAAATATATAATTTATTTTTGTGGATTTTTGAACCATTTTTTATAAGCAAACATTTATAATTGGTTAGGAAAATTTAATATACACATAAAATAAATAAATATTAATTTAGAATAGCAATACATATTTATTTTTTAAAATTAAAAATTAATTGCATTTTTATTTCTATTGTAAATTACATTTTATAAGCTCTCTGACATGCTGACATGCTGACATGCTGACGCATGCTGACATAAAGGAAAATCAAATATTAAAATCAAAGTCAAAGTTTCAATTCCGAAGTCTTTATTGAAATTTAACTTAGTTTTTTTATGAACACCTAGAAGACTTCAAATACGAATTAGACTTTGCTTTTTATTAAAATATATATCTATATTAAATTTTATAATTTATGTAAAAACCGGCAAATTATTTTCAATACTAAAGTAGAGTATTGAGTAGAGTAAAGTAGAGTATTGAGCACACACAGCTGAGTTTTAGCATGCTGACGCACTGAAAAGTCAGTTACTTGCTTTACAGCGCGTAGTCGCAAATTTCCTGTTTTCAAGCGACAGCAGCTGCTGCTGCTGTTAATGTTAAGTGCTGTGAACTGTTAAGAGTCGGGTTTGTTTTGTTGTTGTTGCTTCTGCTGCTGCTGCTGCTCTTTGACTGCTGCTCTTTATGCTCTTCATGCTGAATTGTGGTTGGCTGTTGGCAGCGGCACGATCCGCCAGCGTTCGTTTGTTTTCATTGAATTTCTCGATGTGGTTGGCTGTTGATTTTTTTCATACGAATTGCTTTTGTTGTTGCGTTTGACTTTACACACAGTACAGTTATTATCGCGCGATTGCATGCGCCACTGTTGCTGCTGTGTGTATGTGTGCCTCTCTTGGTGTGTGTGTTGTTGAGTGTTTTTATTGTAAATGTGCATCCATTTGTATTCGTATTGGACTAATGTGGCAAAGAGGTGGGCACTTAATGCCCGCCGAGCTGTGTAAATAAAAGCGCGGAGAGACCGAACAACATTTTCTAACGAAATTAGTAGCTTGTTTACAAAATGGTGAAAACGAGTTTGTCGCTTAAGTCTTTCGTTTAATGTCACTAAATAAAGTTGTGAATTTAAAGTACATAATATATATGCTGAACATACTCGACGAGTGGCCCTCAGCATAAAGACCAATCAAACTTTTCAGTAAATACATTAATTTCTATAGAACTATGAAGTGAAAATGCTTAAAAGTAAAAAGATTTTGTATTTAAAAGAGTCTTCAGCAGAAGCTGAATATGTTTCTTCGGTCACGTCTAGTCCAATTGCCAAGTGTTCATATCACGGCTAGAAACAATTCGAGAACCGCTTTAAACACATTTTTCTATATCTAATTGAATTCTCTTGTCATAAGCCAGATTGCAAGGCTGATCCTAGGGCAGGCAGTGCGAGAGCTTGGGCATGAGCTGTAGCTGAAGCTGTAGCTGGAGCTGTAGTCGGAGCCAAAGTTAGACTCACTTGTGTCACTTCATGATGATGATGATTTCATTTTAATAACACCACTTGCAGTGGCATGGCCAAGCGGAGATCCATTTAATGCCCGCCACCCGCCTTGGCCCGCTGCACGTCCCGCTGGGGCCCGTGCGTCAACACCAGTTGACGGAGTAACAAGGAAGCGCAACACTCTAAAACGACGTGTAATTTATCACAGCACGAGCAGCATTTAGCCATGAACTGGACGTGTACATTGCGGCTGCTGCGGTTAGTTTTTCTCTGACTTGGCTGTCAGCATCGCTGTCCTCTTCATAATCTCTGCACACGCATTCAAAGTCGTCATCGTCATCGTCATCGTCGTCTTCGTCTTCGTCTTCGTCATTTCTTCTCGGTAGGCAAATCCGTTGCATCTGGCAGCGTTTTAATTTTAATTAAGTTTACGCGCTAGTCAGCCTCAACTGCAAGTTTTAGCCAACTCCCAGCCCCTCCCAGACCCCCGCCCCAGCCCCTTTGTTTGCAGCATCAGTGGCAGTGGGTTTTTATGGAATGACATGGTCATAAGCCGGCGTACCTGCAGACGGGCTCACTCGCGTGCTCATGGTGATGAGTTGGAGCATTAGCTTTGATGTCTGCTCATATTTATTAGAGCGCAATCTACTTCAAATTATTGTTGACCAGCGCGGAGAGAGATTAATTTAGCTAGCTGGCCAGCCTGAATGTGCCAAATCCCTGAGGAAAAAAGGAAATGAAAAAAAAATATATAGAAATATATAAAAATCGTTTTTTGTACTAAAATCAAAGTTAAAGTATGCAAATCGTAAGCAAATCGATAGATAAATAGTTGAAACGACTGCAAGGCCAAATCGAAGAAAATCCAATGCGAATTCCGTTGATGAGGATGTTGAAAGACTTAAACATGCAACATTGCCAAATACAAATTGTCGTTGGCCAAAAAGAGTCATGGCCAGAAAAAATAGGCGACAAATCTGCTTCTGCATGCGGCCTGCATGCCAAGTGCCCGAGCAGACCGGAGGCTTGGAGACTAATACGACATGGTCGCATTGGCTGCATTGGCTACATTGGCTACATCGGCTGCCTGGTGACATTGCGACATTCGATCGATGCCAAATCGATCCAGATACAGATACTTTAAATCACAATTTCAGCTGAGCGCAAGCCAAGCCAAGTTTAAGATAACAAAAAAAAACAACAAAAATTGAAAAATAGCTGTGCGCACATGTCAAAGGCGGTAGCAAAAAAAAAAAAAAAACAACAACAACAACAGCAACAGCAACAGCAGTAGCAGCAGCAGCAACTGCGACTTGGCAGCAGCATTTTATTTCAATTTCAATTGATTGTCGTACAATCGCCATGAATAATTCAATTTTACAATTGCATTGCCCGCTGCTCGCAATGGGCGGCTAGAGCAGGATAGACGCACTGAGTGGGCGCGCTGAGTGCAATAGAGATAGACTATCAGACACGGAACATATTTTAGCCACTGTCTACTGTGTGCTGCTGCTGCTGCTGGTGCTGTTGCTGCTGTCACTGTTGCCGGTAGCAGCAACAACAACAGAGTTGACGATGAAGACGACCACCTATTACACATGATACATACTCGATATTGGATGTACTCGTGCTACCAGGAACGCTCGATTGACGCACACTAGGAAATGTTTTTAGCGAGCTTGCAGTCTGGGAGGGAGCGAGGAAGAGGAAGAGCTGGAAATGAGGGGCAGTAACGTTGTGCAGCTAGCGTACAGAGAGTTGAGGCGGAATGTTCGGATGATACTTGCTAGTTACTTAACATTCGACAACCTTTGCACTTCTGGGTCTCTAACGCATTGTCAACTGCTAAGATATAGATGTATGGTTTGGGTAAATTTTAAAATAAAAAATATAATTTTAATATAATTAATATAATTTAAATTACACCATTTTACTTATAGAAAGAGCTTTGCTTGTTTGCCTCTCTCTTAATATACGTTCTCTTGAGGGAATCGAAACAATTGAAATAAATCAATGTCGGCCGTAGAACATTTTATTTATAATATAATATTTCTTTATTAAATGCTGCATTTATCAAAATAATAATACTGACTATGTCTTAAGCACGAGGGTGTCTCTGCTCCGGCACTAGATGCTGCTTCAGATGCTGACTTGAGCTGAAAAAGTGTAAACTCACGCACACATGTACTGAGTGTAAGTTTATGTAAATGTTATTGAAATTATTTAGTTTTATCAGTAAGCCTGAGCGCATTTTTCTACAAAATTAACCTAATTTTAGTAGTCAATTAAAGATGTTGTTTTGTTTTGTTTTATTGTTGTTTTAAATTTTAACAATAAATTTTAAGCATGGAAGGCTTAAGCTTAGCATAATTTACTATTTATATTTGCTCTCTATAGTAGTAGTAGTACTTCTACTACTATATATTAGTACAGCAACTACTTTAGCCAGTATATATTTTACTACTACTAAATACAACTATTTAAATTATTATTATTGCTACTATGACTACTATTGCTACTACTGCTACTATTACTATTGCCACTACTATTACTATCACGACTGCTACTACCATTACCACTACGACTGCCATTACTATTAATGCTACGACTACTATTACTACTACCACTACTACTACTACTACTATTGCTACTACTATTAATACTACGACTACTATTACTACTACCACTACTACTACTACTACTACTATTGCTACTACTATTAATACTACGACTACTATTACTACTACCACTACTACTACTACTACTACTATTGCTACTACTATTAATACTACGACTACTATTACTACTACCACTACTACTACTACTACTACTATTGCTACTACTATTAATACTACGACTACTATTACTACTACCACTACTACTAC